CAGAGTGTGGCAAAAAAGAACATTCAGAAAACAACTAATTCAAACTGTTAATTCAATGAAATTATATACATGTATTACATTAAAGCCTATATGACTCTTTCTCAAGCCACTACTTTTTTTTTTACCCCATTCAATTTGGGTCCCTAGATCCAGAAAAACAATCAATTAAGTGAAAGGGTGTAAATTTTACTTGGGCCACTCTCACCTGGGCATGCTGAATCTGGGTTAAGCATTGAATAGGCTCTGAAGTTGGTGACATCACAGGTGAGAGTGGCCCAAGTAAAATGACACCCTTTCACTTAATTGATTGTATTTCTGGATTCAGGGACCCTAATGGAATGGGGTAAAAAGGAGTGGATTGAGAAATAGTCAGGCTATACTGTAATATATATAATCTCATTGAAGAAAAAAAAATTAACAGTTTTAATTATTTGTTTTCTGAAAGTTGCAATTTCTTTGGCATACTCTTTAGGTACATGCCTTTGTACTCGACAATTTCCAAGGCGTGAAAATATGGACAAGACGGTTTGGAGTGAAAAAATCTCTTTGTAATTTAGGTAGAAATAGTCGAAACTCGAGTGAAAAATTGACCTATTCGGATTTTCCTCTTCGTCATCCTGCTCCTATGGTCTCCATCGGAGGAAGTGAATTCTCACTCGAACAGTGAGAATATCCACTCTTTTGAAATACGAGAGTGATACAAAAATGAATACAACTGCTAGACTGGATTGACCTGAAATGATTAGACAAATCCTCAAAATCAGCTGGCCTGACATTGCGGTCTTGACCTTCTCCAGAGTCAAATGACAGTGGTACAAGAAACAAACATGTAGGGGACACACAAGCATGCAGGGGTGGAAGGAGAAACACAAAAGAGGCATTAAGGACCACGAGAGTGTGGCAGTAGGTAAAGATGAAGGGGATGAATAGGGGGATGAAGATGAGGAGTGTGGTGTGGAGTGTGGGTAAGTATCGGGGGGGGGGGATAGGAGGGATGATGCTAGGGGCGGGGGAACAAAGGAGTGTGGCAGTGCATGAAGCGTTGGATAAATTGAGAGAGTATAAAGCCTATATAAAAATGAACCATTGTTGAGTAAATCAGATTCCACAACATGTCTTTTTTTAACAAAGGTAATGACAAGGTACGGAAGAGTGAAGAGTCAAAATGTAGTCAAACATAGCCAATTACTCCTGACGATGGTCAGAACATACGAAATAAAACGTAACACCTCTAGTTCTTCTGACATTAGCTCTTTTAGCGATGGTCCATTCGCATGATGTATAGCAATCTTCTCCAAAGTTCATGGGTAGGCCTTTACCATGTATTGTCTGGTTCCCAGACCAAAAGATTCTGACTGTTTCTGACGAATCTTAGGTCAGGTAGCCGCCACGGTTAAAAGCAAACGCAGCCAAAAAGCGGGCAGGATCCTGCCCGTTCCGAAAATGTCCGAAGTTTACCGAATGCATTTCGTCGACACTCTCGGATAGCGCCCGGGTATTTCCGGGTGTAAAATAGGTTGTATTTACCATGCTTATGCGTGGAATGGGTTGTATTTACCATGCTTATCAACAAAAAATTAGTCCATATTTTCATTGCTTGCATTTTAAGAACTTGAAATTCAATGACGATTGTGTGCATCAAGTACGCACTCAGATCGTTTGAGGGGCGAGCTTTGCTCCGTCGTGTTCTATTTTGAGTCTGACAATGGTTACCTAGGCTCGCATAGGAAAGCACACATGTAAAGAAAGCACGACGTCATTATGTCTTATGTCTATAGTGTACATTGGGATACATTACAAAAGAACAATGAAATTGACACATTAAGTAACTCACTTTAAAGTGGTTTAAAAACTCCGGGAATGTTAATAAAGCATACACCATAAATAAAATTTAAAACAATAAGCACAATGATCGATTTTAACACCGGGTCAAAAGTGTTCTTCAAAAAGTGCAACTGCACTCTTCAATTCATGTTTTGAAATCGTATAACAATTTTTCTCCTTTAAATTGGATGTTCGATGTTTTTAATGTTCATGTTTATTTTTATCATTGAATAAAATAAGTTTTGTTCAGGCTTTCAGATCGTAAGAGCAAAATAAAAGAAAATCAGCAATTTAAAATGCGACCACAATAATCTTTCAAAATTTACCCTATATCTAAACCACTGCATTTCCAAACACCAAAATCATATCTCCACAAATAATCTCTCCAATGCAACAATTTGTTTTTAAAGAAATTTTAAATACGATAAGGCAATCATAATGGTGTGGCCGCTCAGTTATGTTCCTTTTAGTTAAAAACAGAGCCAAAAGTAATATCACAATCAGCGTTGCTAAAAAAAAGGTAGGAATATTTTAACAAAGTGTTTGATGTATATAAATCGAAGTGCTATACACAGAATATTTTTGTTTCTTTTTCAGAAACCAACAAATCAAGTACATGTAGTTTCTCCTCCCAAATATACATACAGTGTATAGTACGGAAGACGTGCACTTCCTGCTCACAATCTAACAAATCAGTCGGGACAATATATACCTAGAAACATAACACGCACTAAAATGTGTCAAGACTTAATTTTAACATTACGAAATGATTCACGGGAACATAAAACAGTGTCTGTGCGAACTCTTTGGTGTATTAGTCGTCGAGCCCCTTTAGTGAAATCAACAGCACGAAATGAACATAACCTACAGTATTGTATGTTGTATCGTATTTGATATAACATTGGACTTCTGTGTCGTGCGCGAGCTCTGTGGTGCATTTATGTTGTCAAATGCAATTTGTGAAATCAATAATACGATTAAATATAATAGATAGCATTTGTATGTTGTTACTATCTGCGTGTACCTATAAGACTTGCATACATGAACTACATTGTGTCAGAGCAGCATCGTCTTTCTGAAAAGATCAGCCTAGCCCCCTATACATTGTGTACCTTTGCTAGTTTACCGTTAATGTTTTTGCTGTTGAACCAACATTGATGGTTGCTCGATCTCCGAATGTTCAACACGTCAAGTGCCCCCTGGGAAATGTAGCTGCATGATAACATTTGTATTGACTCTTTCGCGAAGGACAATGAGGACGTTCATGCACCTCAACCTTTGGCTGCTTTCGGATTTGTCAAAAAAAACACACACCGGCATTTGAAATCACATGCATGTTTCGTATGAAGAATTGGTAATAACCCTTTCAAATACCGCCACGCGACTGCTGTGGAATGTGTTTTACTTAGTCCTCTTTCCAAGTGTAGGCGTTTGATTGGGAATTTTGCATCTTTGAGAGAGGGGGAGACTGAGAGAGAGACTCTGTCACGTTCTCTACTCCCTAATCATCATTCTGTCAGATGGGTTCTAGACTGTGAGCCAGACTATTGCCTGTGCCAGTCTGGATGGCCCAATATGACATCAGTGCCAGAATGATGTCCCCGCTTGACCCGGGTACGAACGAGGCTGAAATTTTTCAATCGGGAAAAACAATAATTTGAGTCCAGTTTTAGTGTCACGGCATCCTCGTAGATGTTGTTTTTCATTCCCCCCCCCTCGGTTGAGGTGCTGTATTTACATGTTTGATGTGTAATTGTAGTGTTTTCGTATCTGTCAACAAATGTTCAATGAGGTTGGAGTGGCAACTATGTTCCATGCTGAATTTATAGTTGTATAGTCCAATGTTATTTTAGTTTTTAAAATACAGGGTGGCGCAAAAAGAAGGAAACCCAATTTTGACAGGAAATTTATCTTATGCTAATATTTTATTCAATTATGCTGATTTGAATACAAGTCGCCAAGTCACTGTTGTCCACGTGTTAAGTGTTGTGTGTTTTGTCTTCAAATCAGCTTGTCTTCATCATCAAGCGGATGGAATAAAGCCGTCCGTGGACAAACGGGTTTGGCACAATAATTGTTTGAACTACCATATATCAGAGACAAAATATACATTTGCAATCATTTTTTCGTCACTTATGTTTACAGATCAATACTTTTATACCATTGAATTGAACATTTGAAATATGCTCAACAAGTAGGTGAAATTGCTGTCAAAAGTGGGTTTCCTTCTTTTTGCACCACCCTGTAGATGTACAGTACAATGTCATTTCAGTTTTTAAAATAGACGCCATAAAGATAATGAAAGTTGCAGGTGCACTGCATCGACTTGTACCACTGATTTTCGTGATATATTACCGGTATACGTGATCACTATACACTCACAAAATCCCCTAGTAATGACACAAGATATTGTTCAGAATAAACCGTCGTCTAGCAGGTGCTTTGAGCAACAGTGATCACGTGACCGGCATGGTGTATAGAGGAAATACGGTCACGTGACTAGCCTTTAAATTACCTCTTATTTATGTAATTTGCTGTTTTGTTTGTCATCTCGTTCGTCGGCAATCATGCGGACAGTAAAGTGCATGTAAGCTCCGTTCAACGTACTTGTTCGGTTCGTTACAAGACGTGTTCACTTCCTCTATTAGGCATTGTACTATACGTAATTGCATTGCAGTTTAATCAGTATGTGCAAATGTGCAGTTCTTTGGTGCATATATACTGATGATCATCAGTACTTCCCTTGATGCAATTTACTCCAATAACATAAAAAAACCCCCGTAAAATAGATTTTGTTACCTTGATGATAATGGTATCAACTAAAAGGAGTGCTAATGGAAACATATACATGTATCAGGTACAGAAGAACGCCACTGTGTGGGGAATTCCATGAGAAAGTGAACATGGCTATGAAGTGTAAAATTTAATGAAATTCTCAGAACTAGAAGCACCACAACCTCAAATGTGGTATCAAATGAAAGTGAACAAGAAGAACTTTCATTTGAGTTGTGTGCCAGTGTGATTAGATATCGTTACATGTGCTTGTTTTGTGTCCAAAATGTTTTCTTTGGGATAAACTTATGGATTTTAAGTAGTCACTTTGGCACCTTGTTTTTACATGCAAAATGCAAGTGTTATTGTGAGTTTTTGGTTTGCAGGCAGAGAGAAAGGTTCATATTTTATGGCAAAAGATTTTTTTGTGAGATTATAATTGTATTTTTTGTTTTATCTTGTACCAAAGTTGGGTGGACAAACTGTGAGTTACCGTAACGGTAACTGAAGATTTCGTGACTGATTTCTTTTTAAAATAACTGTTATGGTAGCATATGACTTACACCTTAATGATGTAAGAGCACTGAAAAGATGTTTCCAACACTTCACAGTATGAGGACACGTTCAAATGCAAGGTACTTAATTTTTCCATGTCCATCAACGTGAGTTACCAATAAAAAACAGTTATTGCCAAACCAGCAAAATTTTATTTGATTTCCTCTTTTTGCAGTTTAGTCACTTAGATTCAAGGGATCTTCTGTGAGAAAAATTCACCCTTAATACTTTGACTTTATAGGCTTACAGTACAAACTTGACGGAAGACCCCGTAGCGTGAGTTATTACCATGGAATTGCCCATATGGTTTCATCGATGTGATTAAGTCCAATGTTGTGGCAGTTCATTATCTAACGGACAACGAGTTATAGCAATGACGCATGTTATGGGGGAGAAACGGAGATAATTTGGAGTGAAAGATATACACTCGTGAGTGCTTTTCTGCAAAGTCATTACTTTGCATTCGGTCGTTTGCTGTCCACTTGTTGTAACAGAACTGTTCATTATACGTGGACAGAGATGCCACTTTTTTATTCAGTGGTGATTACTTATAACGCTCAGCTCCACATGTACAAGGGGATCCAAAAAAAGATGACGCTTTTTTTTCAGACGCAGATGTCTTAAAATTGGTAAGACATGTTGAAATTCTTTCTAATATATTCCCAAACTACAAGATCTTGGTGGTATATGGTGTAAACGGCGTTAAAATTAAGTCTAAATTAAGAAATGGCTGCCGTTGACAGAGAAATGGTCAAACGCCAGTTTGTCCATCACATGTAAGTCTATGAGACATAGTCAAAACAATAGCACTGCGTGCACAAAGAACTGCAATACCAATGACCATGTCTCATACACGTGTGAGTATAAACTGATTTTGACCATTTTCTGCATATGACCGCCATTTCTTAATTCAGGCTTTATTTTCAACGCCGTTTTCACCATAATACCACCTAGATCTTTTACTTTAGGAATGTCTCAAAACAATCTCAACACGTTTGCGATCTGCGTCTGAAATCTGCGTCTGAAATATGTTAACTTTTTTTGGAGCCACCCTGTATATAAAAGAAATCATCATTTTTGTCTTGACTGTTCTATAACTGGAGTTGGCCGGTTTTTTTCTTACAAACATGAGATACAATCTTTGAAGATTTGGTAAATAATTTTTTTTTTTATAAAGCCCAATAGTTTGTTTGTCTGCACATTGCGTCATTGCTTTAACATACACGGCAGTCCATTTACCATTGCATATACATGTACACAGAGATATATTGCAACATGAAATAAATAAACGATACACAAGCTTCAAAAAATATATATACAGTTTTGTTTTTCTTGAAAGCCCATCATTGCTCCGCTTGATCTTTGGAGGAATTCTTGCAGACGATTTTGCCCACCACTCGACAGCTGGTGAGGAGCAGGATGCCCAGCACAATGGCCAGGACGACGGCCTTGATGACTGCGAAAGACGACAGGGGGAAGGCTTCGTTGCTGCGGACGTGACCGTCCTGTTCTAGCGTACTCTCGGGGAAACCCGTGGTGGTGTCGTTGGGGAGGGTAAAGTTACCAAGATAATCCGGGGAGGTAGTGGTGGTAGTGGTGGAGGAGATGAGGTAGTCCAACAGACGGCTGGGCGAGGAAGGGGAGCGAGCGGTCGCCGGCTCCGCGGGCTCCACCGGCAAGTCGCGGCGGTGCACCCGGGTCAGTCTCCGCAGAAAGTCATCCATGATTGATTGCGATCGGGGATCAGTAATTGGATCCTAGAGATGGGGGGCTGGGCAGTTGATGGGCTCGACTAGACGAGGGCTTGACTTATGCACTGCAAGACTGCCAATCAAGCATCCCTCCAGATAAAACTCAGGCGATATATTATTTTTATTTTGCTTCAAAAGACGCACCTGATGTTCGCCATTACCAATTCTGATCAGTATTGAAAACCAGTAGCGTCGAGATGAGATACACAATCCTCTATCGTCTTCCTTATGACTTCACGGAAAGATGTTATGTGAAACACAGGAGAGCAATATAACCAAGATAAGTGTGATCAACTTTAAAGTGCAGTTCAGTCGACGAAAATTGTACACTCACCGAAAGACTTGCAGAGATACATGTAGTTGTATACGCTACTCGCCGGTATCTGCTGATCCTTGGAGTGACACTGGATTTGCATCACAAAATGCAGATGAACGCCTGTCGCATTTGAAATGCATGAAAGTACGACTTCTTGCTGGCTGGATTAACGTCTATCACGGAGACAAATAGCTGAGTTCACAAACATTTTTCCAAGCAGAAGGAGACCTTGGGAATAAACCTAATCGGGCGTGCGATTGCCATCAGCGATAAAAAGCACTAACGGTACACGTGTCCGCTACGACGGACTGATGCAATACAGACCGGATTGCATTGGTCAAGGCGAAGCCAAGTTAAATGACGTGCCAAACAACCTTATCCTGCCGTTTCGCACCTCGGGAATTTTCCAATCAAGGAAGAAAAAAAAGGAAGGAGCTGAACTCACTGATGAGTTAAATCCATCAGCAAAATAACGACTTGCTTGTCGTGTCTGCTGCGTTAAGTGGGGAGCGTCTTGGCGATGATTAAAGCCGTCATGTGGGCTTGGTACGCGGTTCTTCGTCTATACGCTGCTCCTTCACGGCGATGTTTGCTGATGACGGCTCGCCTGGCTTGATAGACGATTCGTCGGCGTTGTTGTCTGCTACGGGATGGGACAGGAAAATAAGCGGGAGAATTGGCTTGTTTACGGCTGGCTAGTCCACCAAAACGAGATGTGTAATTGGCAGACGGAGCGCGCTGGCCTTTCTCTGTTGAAAGTCTGTGAGCGCACACTACACCGGCGTTGAGTCCGCACGGCACGGCGAAAACATGTGTCGAGGATGCTCGCTGACATTCAGATAGAGGGTGACGGCAAGCGACCTCCCCAAGGATCAGTGCGATCGCAAACACGCAACACTGTGAATGCCCAGCGATTTGGGCGGGATTACGGTGTCCTACAAAATAATCAGCGTGCGCGGCATCAGATGTGCCCCGTGTGCCTCGCGGCCGACTCTATGCAAAACCTATAGTCCTTTGAACTCAGTACTCTGCGTTGTTCAGTCCATGTGACTAAGATCGTTTTTTTTTAATCAGCAGTCTCAGCGATTGCGCATAATACGTCTCACGAGGCAAGGGCGTAAATATACTGAATGTGGGTCAAAAGCGCAGTTACATACACCTCATCGTAAAGGTCAGGTCGGATAGGACACGAGTCGGCATCCTACCGAGCTTGGACGATGCATGTGCAGGTGGAGATGTCAGCCGAGATTCCTTCATCTATCTAGGCGTCCAGGCTCCAGCTCACCTGTCAAGCAGCTCTGCAATCACACAGACATGTACCGCCAGCGGATAGCATCTGTACAACTGACTGACTACGTGGCGTGTGATGAGATGAGAGACCGCGTGGTGTGTGTATGTGCCGCGTCCGTGTGTCGGTGACATATGACGAGTCCTTGCAGTTGGGTGTCGCGATCGATACTATAATAAATACAATCGCGATGATCAAACGGCGGTTGGCAGATATCGCCGGCGCGGCGCTCGTGTGTGTATGCGGTGACCACATGCACAGCTCCTACGTCTCAGCCAATCACAGACACTACTGCTCGCATTAAAGAGACGACGTGTACCAGAACGGAACGAATCCAGAACGGCGGGATGCAAGCTATCTCATGCCGACACAGCGTGTGTTCTTTCTTTACAGAAGTCGCTAAAGTAAGTACCAAGTCAGTGGGGGTAACTCCACAGAACTTATGAAGTTGTACCATAAAGGTGATTGGTACGACGTCACGGGAAGATACTGTACTAAGGTGTATTCCATACACGCTACACCATACCCGTTTTCAGAATGATACGAAAAGTAGCTTGGCAGTACGCATTTGCTATAGACCTAAACTACACTCACCTATGACTGCATACACATCTGATGAATAAAATCGTTTACTCGTCTGCGCGATAGCAAATCTGAAGACGCAGAAATTTCGCACCTGCATATACATTATTATAATGCCGAACGATTTTGGAATTGTAATGCACATGGTTACCGCTCGATAGTCCGAAGGTTCGACAGTCCGAAGGTTCGTTTATCCGAAGGTTCGTTTATCCGAAGGTTCGTTAGACCGAAGGTTCGTTCGCACGGTCCGAAGGTTTGATAGTCCGAAGTGTTCATTAGTCCGAAAATAGAGTGAGGTTAAATTATGCGAAGGTTCGATAGTCCGAAAGGACGATAAAGTTCGTTAGTCCGAATCGACAATAAGGTTCAATAGTCCGAATTGACAGCATTGAACATTATTGTCAATTCGGACAACATGTATTGAACCTTGTGTGCTTTCGGATGCATGAACCCTTCGGACCATTGAACCTAGACATGTTTTCATTTTGGAATAATTCATCCTTCGGACTACTTAGGCCTAACCTTATTCTAAATTCGGAGTTTCGCTATCGCATCAAATGCTAGGATTAACAAACCTTATTTCATTTTCGACCAATGAACCCTCGGGTATGGCAATGTGTTTGTTCAGACTATCGAACCTTTGGATCAATGAACTTCGGACTATCGAACCTTCGGATTATCGAGCGCACCCCATTCACATACACCAACTGGTACGCATTGGCTACGCAACCATAGTTTATACCACCCAAGCCCCTTAGATTCAACATCATCTGCGAGACCATCTCACGGTCCATGTGATGTACAGAGCCCACTGATTCTGTCTATGGGCAAAGCATCATCATGCAAACCTCCTCTACCGACACTTGTGCCATCGGCATAACATACCTTCAATAACATATGCATGACTCAATGCTAAACCCCCAACTTTAACAGTTTATTATTATAATGCAGTGACGTGGTCCAATTTGGCTCTCTATTTTTTTGACGTATCAACGACAGGAAATGCAGCATCGCTTCATGCGTGGTGACATTTTCAGTGAACGCCTTGGGTATATACGCATGTAATGCGCAGTGCGTCTTGTGGGAGTGCATACACATATACCGATTGCAATTCCCAAGATCAAACGTTGACGTAACAAGGGATGCCCAAAAAGTCAAAGCTTGTTTGTCCATGAATGTGATGGCTCTCGACGGAGTGAAAGGCGCTGTGGTGGGCGGGGGATCGCGATGTCCTTGAAGCGGTCATCACGTCCCGCCAATAAAATCAACAGCGTGAAATATCAAGCACCTATAAGTCACTCTAGAGGGCGTGCTTTTCGTCCAGGGGTTTATTTCCCCCCTCGTAAAGTCACCTTGAAGTGTTCATCGAACTTCTTTTCCCGCAAAGCGACATCATCCTCTCCTTGAGAATGACAGATGGATTAGAGCATGTCATCTTTTTCTGTTTGACATCCCATGAGTAAATTTACTCTGAGCCCGCGCGGGCCAGCATCCCGGCTAGCTATTTTTACCGCTCGCAACTAAAATCTCTCTCTCCGATGCTGATAAAATGCATCATTGGTTTTGTTTGGACGCGCTTGTAGACGGGAGAGCAATTCAGTGGCATGACATGTTTACGGAGATCGTCTTCGTCACGAATGGGCCACGCAAGATAGGCCCAGTCTGTGCCGCGCCGAGTTGTGTAAACTGAAAAGTCGCGTTGAGTAAATGTTAGTCATAGGTTCGCCTCGGCCTGTACTATGGAAAGAAAAGGGAAGTTCACGTTTCGTGGTGTTTAAATGCTTACCGAGATAATCGGTTTACTGATAGATCGTTTTAACAATAACTTTCGAGGATAATGATACTTGGGTACAGGAGTGCGAGTTTAAGACGCAGGAAGGCCGAAAATTCTTAGCCTCGGAAGTTGTAATATGACACTACTACAATAAAGGGTTTCCAGCAAAAGATGAATGCTAAATTTAAGTGAAGTATTACTTTGTTCAATCAGGGATGCGTTCATTATGGGGCCAAGGTTGACATTAGTATGCCGGACAGCGGGACAACCAAGCAACAGTTTGTTCCGTTACAAGAAGCTCTGAGGTTAGTCCATAATAGCAAGAACTTCCACTTCAGAACCATCAAAATGCCTCAAGGTCCTTCTGAGAGGTCCCTAGACCTCACGCCTTAAATGGCTCTGTGCCGTGCGCTCAAGAGAAGTATTGCCGGTCCAAGCTGTCAATTTTGACAGTTTTAAACCGTCCCACTTTTTCGAAGAGCCGTTTCCGGGAGGCCCCCGGGTTTCCAACATCCAGACGTGAATACAAATTTCAGTGCACTAAAAAGGCCTCAGTGCCGACTCGCTTCCTTGTAACTATTGTCGAAATAGATGCGACGAACATAGATGAACTTGAATTGGGAATGCAGGTCACTCCGCGAGCGTATTGAACTCCGCGGGAGATGCTCATCTGACCTAGGTTTTTTTTTTAGGGATGTATAACTGTTGTTGGCAGGATACCTTCTGGACTCGCTAGTCCTTCGGGCGCAGATGGCACTAACCATTACACGATATTTTGTTTGGCGGGAAAAAGGTGCACGGGCTTGTTTGTAACAATTTTGATCAGGATGATCGAATTTCGGCCGCAGGGGGGAGATCGTTTTATTAGGAGGCACGACCCTGACGCCCAAATTGAATTTTTACTTACGTTCGCTTGCATAACTATTCACGGTTTAATTATTTTGTTTTTGTATGACCAATATATTCTATGACGGAAGTTACTGTTAGCAATACCTTTATTCATTATTGTGTTACCTTTATTGATTTTGTTGTGTTGAAGGATGCCTTGTCGCAAGTATTAAAAATTGTGCGTATAATGCCATCATTTTGATGACGGTATTTTTGGAAGTGCATATATTCTATTCTATAGCTAATTTACATGAGTGCACTTTTGAAAATATCAAAATTGATCTTTTGGAGGTCAGGAATGCAATTTCTTAAAGGGCCATGCAATGAAATTTGTTTAATGCAGTCTTTTGAAAATGCACCTTTGCATCCCATTTAATCTTATTTTCAATTTTTGTTTTGCCATTTCAAAGGCTATTTTTTGGTGATTTTTTTTGCTAAAGAGAATTTCCAAATTCATGAGCAAAAGTGTGATGTCTTTTCAGGCAGACACCTCAATGTAAAGTTATTTCAGCACCAAAAGTTGCCAGAATGTTGCACATTTTGCTGTCGTAAATTTTCTGGTTTTTGTTTGCGATTCGTTGTTGTGTCAGTACATGGCAGTAAGCAAGTGAGCAAACTTTTCTAACACATGTTTGCATTGAGCAAATTTGTGGTTCAAAATTTGAACAAAAAACCCGCAAACTGAACAGTGTCTTCCTGAAATGATATCACAGCAACAGCGCCCTCAGTGCATGTAAAGCATGAGTTAAAAAAAAAAGTTTAAAGAAGTGCACTTTTCAATAAAATTAACCAAAAAGGAATGTAAAATAGTTTCATACATTTAAGAGGTATAGAATCTGCACAAAATTATGTACCTGAGAAAAATTCATTTCATGAACCCTTTAAGCAGCGTTCTGATGAGATCAATGAGATTGAAATAATTCCTGGCCTCAATTCATGCTTTTTAAATAACAGTACACGTTTATGCTAGGATTCTGCAACTATGACGTGCTCTATTCCCTCCTCGCATTATAAATTTTCATTGCCGACATTGGAGCGTTCCCTCCGTTTAGATATTACAAATCTTCCTGGTCCGATATTAAAGAGTCTTGGTATTAATTCGGGTGAACTCAATTTGCTCCGACCAATTAGACAGCGCGAAGCTTGCGCAAGTAAACACACAAAAAGTTCCGAGCCTCACACAACCTCGGATGATAAAGCCACGACTGATCACCACCACACAAGGAACTTTTAATCAACCAGCACATCGATCGACCCTCACCGGCGCGAGGATGTCCAAGCAACGGCGCTGAAATGCCACGCTTCAGGTGACGACGATTTTACTCACGCTTGCCTGCCACTGCATGGTAGGGGAGTTCTTTTCAGGGGAGCTGGCGGGGCTGCGGTCTCGCAATTCCTCACTGTTGTCGATAATATTCCACGGGCCCCGCGCCCGTTCGATTTATGTCCCTTCGCCCGGACGGGACCCGTCGGTGTCGCTCCTGACACCTGCTGAGCTAGCGGGTCTTATGTCCCTCGATCCCGGTAGGCGAGAGACGCTTAATATAATGACGGAGTACATTGAGATGGCTTATTTTTTTCCGGAGACACCTCTGGGAGATTTTTGGGAAGGGTTGTAATTGCAAGGCGCCCCTTCGCTTGCCGGGAATTCCAATTCCCTTTTGGTGGGAGTTATGAAAGGACGAGCGATTCCTCTGCCGAGTTTCATCAAGGCGTCGCCACGAGACCCGAATACAAATTTCCAGCGTAATAAGAAGTCCGGCAAAACTCTAACTTCAATAAACTTTGCCAATTACTCCAAGTGAAGTTGACTTACCCCCCCCCCCCCAGTGAAGGTGACCTACCCCCCCCCCCCCCCCCCCCCACACACACACACACCACCACCATCCCTGGGCCCAGGAGATGTAAGGGGATACATAGTGTACAGTGACTAACTCATGTGGTTCGCATAACTAGAGAAACTCAACGTTTCATTCAGTATGTTCTTAAAACAAGCTTGACG